AGCTAATGCCCACACATAATTGTATGTAATTTACGAATGACACCGGTGTAATTTCACTCGACTTGTCATACATTGCCCAAATATGAACACATACATCATCGGAGTAATTCGATACGAATTCTCGCACCGATCTCAACAGATCTATCACACATCTGGTAATTTTGACATGGGCTTTGCTTATTCTCTAAAGCATAATCATAACCTCCTGGAGCAGGCTGATAAGCGTTCTTGCTGCTTTCATACGGAATGTCTCGTTCATTCAGAAGCATATGGTGGAAAATATTTACGGGATCCATAGACGAGAAGTCAAATCTATAAGACGTGCCATCTATGTTAGCGTCATGTCCTGGTATCGATGAACGAGCCTATAACACTGCATTTTTACCTAGTTGAGTATGTGTACTATTCGCTATCTTCCTGTGGATTTATACACACAGAAGATCAGAGAACTATATGAGGAGGTTGACATCATCACATGACCCGATGTCAATTGATCGACAAAGAACTCGTCGATCGCAATATATGGTCCGTATGGAAGTGTCTACTTCTTCATCAAATAGTACACTCGAGACGGGGCTTTCATTTCGATCTCGTGAAGGTCCTCTGCCCTTAGGCAAATCGTACGGCATGGATCCAGGAAGTGTATCCTTGCATTTGTTCAAACCTTTGGAAAAGGAATTTGCCTTCTAAGACTCTTTAGATTGAGACGTGTGCCGCTCAATTCGAGTCATCTCAAAAAGAAGACGTTCATCCATCAATGGGCTTTAAAACAACCCGTTCTTTCTTAGAAAATACTAATGCTGACGTAATATTGGCAGCGTACTCTTCCCCTGCGACGAGCTCGCATATCTACTTGACTTCGTCACTACGCATGTCTCGCACAACCTATTCGATTTGAGCTTTGGTAGCTGACGTATCTCCGAAGTTGACTCCAGAGGTGCTATCAGATCAACTGTGTACACCAGAAACTCTTATTATGTCGTTCAGCATAAATATTCAGTGTCTCGTTTAGTTCTAGAGAACTTATTCTTTATGCTGCGAGGAAATCATTCGCCCAGCCTCTTCTGGATGTGGGGACTCTACCATATCCAGCCAATTTACGGTCAACCCCCCATTCAGCCTAGTTAAGCGTAATACCTCTTTTGGACAACCGGTTTAAATTTTCTTGGATGATTCTTGTTAGGTACGCTTGTATGTACTGTTCCGCTCGACTTATTTAAGTGACGGACCTTCGACGCTGCATGCGTTTTCACTCATCTTCCGGAAGCTTGCTACGCATTATAGTGTTAAATAAATGAGATCTTGTGCATTTGTGCTAGCGAACGTTCTCCACTACGTCTCACTCGTAGAGCCTACACACGCTTGTGAAGGAGCTAATAAATACATGAAATGACCATCTGATAAGAAATTGGCAGGAATATTTACATACCGATGCTGTCAGCTGATCCGTGACTCATACCTTCGTGGCCACGGTAGACAAAGGATGACATCGAGTTTGGCATCCAAATTCAGTACAATGGAAATCATCATCTCACTGTTTATCTTCTAACGTGTAGTGAGTTACAACTGAACGTTTTTGCACTGATTCGAATGCGCCTTTTGCAAGGTGCAATTTCAGCCTCAATCGTGGGTTCTCGATCCCAACGAGCTTGAGATGACGATTACCAAGTTAATAATAGTATGTAATGGTGGTCTTTGACGCCCTGCAGATAGCTAGGGCTCAAATTGACATGTCTTTCGACACTTCAATTTGTAAGGTGATAAGGTAGACCTCATCATCGGAGGCAGTAAAACAGTGACTGTGGGTTAGGAGCAACCTTCTTCAAGAGGTTTGCAGATTTACTAGACGTTGCGGATCAGCAAGACCATCCACCGTGCTAAATCCCACCGTTTTCTTACGGTCCGCCTCTGTTGAGATATCGCAACAGTGTCGGCTCCACTCTCGGGCCATTTTCGGCTGTCTACCATTAACGTGAAACGGTCGCACATAAGACAATATTCGGAGAACTACATCGATATTCGTATCGCCCTATCTTTTTACAATGATTTCATTTTTGCAATCTTTGTATTCTGGAGAGCGGGTCTTCTTGCTCTCCACGTGACAGAGTTCCATCGGTTCTGGACCAGTAACCTACTGTCGTCTAAGGGAACAATATCACCATAGTTGACATTAATCTGTACCAGGATAATGGTTTTCTATTCCGCCACGGATATCGCTTGTTCTAGAGTATCCAGCGTTATAGAAATCGATGAACGTTCGCAAGACCCTGCATGGACACCAAAATAAACATGTACTCATGAATCGGGCAGCCTTTATGCAACTCGCAAGTTGACGGGTGTGCTGAGCGTAAACGTGCACGTCACGCTTGCCCAGCCAGATTTTTAGGAGCTCGGATGAAGCTTAGTGTTTAAGCCTTTGGGGTTCAAATATCTATCCGAGCCGATCTTGAAGGTCCTCAACGACTTAAGCGCATATATGTCGTGCAGCTTAAGTCTTAACGCCCAATGTTTGGCTCTTTCAGTCAAGTTTGGCTGGATTAGTGTGACATTTTATCTTTGTCGATGATACGATGATCCTGATGGCGTCGTCTGATTCGACAAGACCATGTACAATCGAAACTGTTGAGCACATGTTTCTCTTTACAGCTCTGACGGTTGAGAACCTTGCTTGTAAATCAAAGTCAATCCCGCGTGCGCCTCATGAAGTTCACGCTAGATAAAACTAGCAATTGCTGCATGTTGCTCGTCTGGTTTCAGATTGAACAGCATAGCGTTGATGGCACGTTCACAAACGGTCGAGCATATACGTTCGCTTACATTCCATTCGATGCACAAAAAAGCAGACCCATCAAGCTAATACATACTTATACAAACAAACCTTTATTATTGCTAACATGAACACGCTGGAAAGAAGGCCCTTGGTCGTTGAACGGACCACGAAATGCTTTTAGGTGAAATGGGATATATATGCTGTTACCGACACAGTACAAGCTACTTAAACTGACCGCAGTGTAAAAGGAGACTCGAGTCCTCACTCATGTTGCACGTGTTAAGAAGGCTCAATTTTCAAATCGAACACGCGTGAAAGAAGGAAAAAGTAGAACTGTGTTCGGTGTAGTCTATGACGTTTAACAAATCCCTTTTCGATTTTACTCAAGCTATATTGAACAACAAACGCGAAATCGGAACTGCCCGCTTACCACCCAGTGCGCGCGTCTAGCAGCGATTGGTATATAAGTTCTTTGGTAAAATGGTCCGTATCATCGAATGAGTTGAACATTGCCAAGTATTACATTCGACGGTAATATCGCTACAATATGTTCTCAGTGAGGTAAATAGTGGTAAATATGATAATTTGAGATTATTGTCATCGGCCCCATTTTGCTGCCGATGACATGTAATAATGAACTCCAGTAGGGCGCGGACCTTATCGACGCATACGTCGAGACTAATCGAGACATGGCATATGGAATGTGGACCAATGCCGCTGATACGAGATTGCACTACCAGCAATGTTTGCTACACCTCTAATTGTAAGAAGTTGACATGACAATGAGCACGCTGAAACCTGCGCTGTATGCGGAAATGTAGTCTACGCTGGTAATGGCGCGCGAGCAGAAAGAACGCGCACGTCGACACAGACCTGATGCAACGGGGAAGCACACGTTTCTTACCAAGCGGACACAGGTGGAACTGTTCGTATGAGAAAAGAATGTCGTACACACGCAGCTCGGGATGTAACCGAAGCACGCACCGGAGCGATGAGAAGCGTGTTGATGATGTACACTTGGTGTTCATAATGTACACTTTGTGTACCTTTTAACGTCATGCTGACGTTTGATCATAGTCGTTTTGGAACGGACGCAGAAAGTGAAACCTCAGCAGTCGGTTACATGAAGAGGAAACGACCGAGGCGACACCATCGTAGTGCTTCTACGATGGAGTAGCTCATTGCAGTGCAATTGTTCTAAATACTAATATACTTTTCAATTTACCATCTGACTACAAGTTGTCTCCTCTGCTGTCTAAACCTCTTTAAAGCGGGGGAAGTGAAAAGGTTGGTTTCAGATATCTCAGCAAGGACGAGTAGTACCTGTACTTATCGCGAACGTGCAACGCAAAGATCGAAAAAAAGTTGATAGAGCGCCAGGGTACTATCAGCGCGAGATGTAGAAAAAGGTATGTCAAAGGTCCATTACGCTGCGCAAAATGGGAGCTCGAGGGCGTGTGGATGGACGAGCTGCAAGAAAAGCTGCACGAGAATATTAAGTAAAGTCGTTGAAACGTTTGGTCGGTCAGGTAAGTTCATTTCATCATTTTAGTAATTTGTAGGTAATCCCGTTGCCGCAATCGGCAAACACGCAAAGTATGGGTATCTCGAAGTATCGGTATATAGGGAAGCGGAGAATGACCCAAATTCTGGTATAATGCTGAGATCGTTCGGCTACCAAAACTCACGTGCGAACGCAGCACCAAAGCTCAGCGCCCCTGATGTGAAGCCACGACACGTCCATCTGAACTCGCAACAGTTTCATCAGCAGTGACATAAGGTCGCGACCACTTCGCAGCGGGAGGTCTGGTGATGAACGAGGAGCCACCTGTTGGCGAGTGTAAAGGCTCTGCACGGCCTCTCTCGTCGACGCGAACACGTCGCAACGCAACTTGAACAGCACATGAAGGCCATTTTTTCACAGGAGAGTGCTGTGCGTCGGACAGCATCGATCTCTTCCGTTGGGCAGACCAGAAACGTCATAAGGGGTCAATTTCATCTCTGCAACGTGTACTTCAATTCATTTGTGCGAAAAGACGATGTACTGACTTTACAACCGGTAGAAAAAAAGGGGACACGACTCAAATTGGGTAAAGACGAAATTGAGATTTGCATGTAATCCCTCACGGAATAATAAGAATAAAGGGGCTGTCGAGACAGGGGACGGCGCCGCAGCCTTGGACGGGACACGCATTGCTTTGGTCATGGGGTCGCACACAGAGCGCCGCATTTACTTCTTGGCCGCCGCACCCGATTTCTTCGATGCCGACTTCTTGACCACCTTCTTCTTCATCGTCTTGGGCTTCTTCGTCGACACCTTCTTGGCCAGACTCTTCTTCGCCACCGGCTTCTTGCCTGGCTTGGCCTTCTTGGCCGTCGCCAGCTTGCTGCCGGCCTTCTTCAGCGCGGGCTTCTTGCTGCTCTTGCTCGCGGCCGTCTTCTTCAGGGACGGCGACTTCTTCGCGGGCTTCGACGCAGCGCCCACTTTCTTCGTCGACACAGCGCCCACTGGCTTCTTGGCGCCAGCCTTCTTCTCCACCGTTGCCAGCTTGAACGAGCCCTTCACCGGTACGAGTTTGCCGGACAAGACGCCGCGCTTCAGTGCAATGTTCAGACGGACCTTCGAGTAGCTCGAACCTTTCTTCGAGGCCACGTACTTGTCGATCGCCTGGCGCGACGAGCCCGAGCGCTCCTTGAGCATGATCACGGCCTCCTTGATGAGGTCGTAGTAGCCCGGGCCAGCGTGGAGCTTCTTCGAGGACGGAACGGTCGGCATCGTGACGGAACGGGAGGGGAACGAGGGGGACGAGGGGGCAGTTGAGACTTTTACTTGTGCGCTGGAGTGAAAATTCCGTTATAAACTTTTGGATCCGAAGACCAAAATTTGAATTCGTCGTCTTGTGCTCGAGCAGTCTGTCTGTCTGTCTGTCGTCAGTATTGTGGTCTGTCGGTCGGTCGATCGGTCGATCGATCGATCGGCCAAGAGGCGGCCAAGTCGCGCTTTCTTTTTTTTACCTTGGTCTTTGTATGGAAAAACACCGAGCTCGCGGGAATTGAAACGGACATTTGTACAACTCCGCCAATCAGCAGACAGATTACGAAGACAGTAGAGAAAGTCGACGGGTCTCTCCACCAATTAGAGCGCGTGAACCGATCGGTCCAGCAACGCACCGGCTTCTGAGCACTCGGCGGCAACGCACGGGGGATGTGCTCGGTGGGACAGAGGAGTGTCAAAGGGAGGGGGGTCACGCACGAAGCGCGCGGGTCAGTCGGTGGAATGCTACGTGTCCAGCGAAGCCTCCGCCCCCCGATGGCGTCTACGCAGCGTGCGCGCGTACCTACATCGGTCGCAGAGAGCTCTACATCGAGGTGGGTTTCTTGCCAGCGTTTCCGGCGTCCTAGAGCCGTCGGCTATTTTCGCCACAAAAAGGAATTTCGACTTGCGTTGAAGGCACTCCGGGCCGGAAATGCCATCCGACCTATAGAAGCCCATTAAGGTTCCTGGAAGAAAGCTACTAGAAAGAGCGCGCTAGCGGCCACGAAAAGTCGACTTGGCGTCTAGAAACTTGCAGGCGATACGACAACACGGAGGCGCATTTGGCGATGTAGTTTTCATCGGCTACTTCGGTCTATGCAGCCTTGTAGCTTCCTCTAGACAGACCCTTCCTCCATGTTCGTGTTTGGCCAAAGGGTAACATTTTCGATCGTGGGCAAGAAAAAGCCATGTGCGAGACAGCCGTTTCTAGATCTGACAACGGTAATACAACAAAACACACCGCGTTACGAACGTGCAGCATCTATTTCCAGGGCCGTGTCAGGCACCAGTAGAAGCGGTCGTTGGCGCGGCGAGGAAGAAACGGCGCACTTGCTGAATCGATTTCGGTACGTTGCTCTTGTCAGCGCCGAAACTAACTGTAGCAGCGTCGTAAAAGTGCGCAAATAAGTAAAAGCAACGATACTTTCGTCCTACGCAACGCCAAACTCGTGCGAATAAAGGAGTCGGCCACCAGCCTCCATCCAAATAGGACATCCATCGCGAAATACTGCATACCGCAGAGACACGATCTAGAACGGTGCGAAAGGGTCGCGATGGACATACACACTGTGCAAAAGTCTACATATCGACTTCCGCTAGTGAATTGTGTCTCTCGCTGGACCACTTCTATGCATACACTTCGCCCCCGCCCCCTTTCGTCTCAGTATCAACTGGTGGTTTAAACGCGGATTGGATGGGAAGATCCGTCGCATGTCTGGCTGTCGGCCACTCCCGAATTTCATCGGTCTCCGCTCTCCCCCCGTCGATCCCAATATGCTCGCGCGCTGCTCCCCCCTCCAGACTGTGCGCACTCTCGCCACGAAGGCCGCGACCGGTCAGTGGCTCGCCAGTGTACCCATGGGCCCTGCCGACCCCATACTGGGGCTCACGGAGCGCTTCAATCAGGTACCCACTCGACGCTTAATACTAACTACCTCCACCTCTTATTTCGTATCGTATAAGAATAGAAGTAGTAGTAGCGGTAGTAGTAGTAGTAGTACTAGTAGTAGAAGTAGTAGAAGTAGTAGTAGTAGTAGTAGCTGTTCATCTCACATAACTATCATCGTGTTTACGACTGTTCCTTTTTTGTTGTAGGACACGGACCCACGTAAAGTCTCACTTGGCGTCGGCGCCTACCGCGATGACGACAGCAAACCGTACGTGCTGCCGTCCGTGCTCGAAGCTGAGAAGCGCATCATGGCGGCCGGCAAGAACAAGGAGTACGCGGGCATTGCCGGCATGAAGGACTTTGTGGACCTGTCGCTGCAATTCGCCTACGGAGAAGACTGTGTCGCACTGAAAGAAGGTCGGATCACTGGCGTCCAGACGATCTCGGGCACGGGCGGCGTCCGACTCGCGGGCGAGTTCTTCTCCAAGTTTCTGGGCAAAGACACGCCCGTGTACTTGCCCAACCCAACGTGGGGCAACCACATTCCCATTATGCAGAACGCGGGCATGGAAGTGCGTCGGTACACGTACTACGAGCCAGCGTCCCGTGGACTGGACTTTTCCGGTCTCTTGAACGACTTGGAGGGCGCTCCTGATGGATCGATCTTTTTGCTGCACGCCTGTGCCCATAACCCCACGGGTGTGGACCCGACGATCGAGCAGTGGATGCAGATTGCTGAAGTGATGAAAGCCAAACAGCACGTGCCGTTCTTTGACTGTGCCTACCAGGGCTTTGCCTCGGGCGACGCTACGCGCGATGCTGCTGCGATCCGCCACTTTGTCAAGGAAGGCCACAACATCTTTTTGTCGCAGTCCTATGCCAAGAACTTTGGACTGTATGGCGAGCGCGTTGGTGCTCTGAGCGTCGTTACGTCAAGTAAGGAGGAAGCGGACCGTGTGCTGTCGCAGCTCAAGATCATCATCCGTCCCATGTACTCGAACCCACCGATTCACGGCTCGCTGATCGTGTCGACGATTCTGTCGGACGCGGAGCTTAAGAAGCAGTGGTACAGCGAGTGCAAGCACATGGCGGACCGCATCATCTCCATGCGCACGGCACTCCGCTCGGCCATCGAGAAGATCGACGCTGCCAATGATGTGAACTCGGACTGGAGCCACATTACGGACCAGATTGGCATGTTCTGCTACACTGGACTGACGGAGGCGCAGGTCGCGCGCATGATTGACGAGCACCACATCTACTTGACGAAGGACGGTCGCGTCAGCATGGCTGGTGTGACGACTAAGAACGTCGAATACATCGCGCAGTCGATCGCTGAGGTTGCTCAGAACGCTTGAGTGTGCGTGCAGTGCGCGTTGAAGGCGACAAGATGGTGGTAGATTGGACGTCTATGCGTACGGCTGAATCCATACAACTGTCTTCGAGGTTGCTCAAACGTCATGAGGAAGCGTGGAGACCACATTAAGCAATACAAAGAGGTCAAGGTTTCGACACTTGCTGAACAGCAAAAATGGCTATCATCTCATCCACTTCTTTCTAGTACCCCAAAGCGCATGGGCCTCCGCAGCGACCATTGACATGCAGATCTGATAGCGTGCGGGTGGATAAAAAGTCGTTGTGAGAACTGTATTGGACATTTTTGTGGTAGTGCAGGCAATCATTGCTGACTCTGCCTGGCGAACCATGTAGTAAACTCGACAGTGATGTAAACTACTGGATGCTAGTCAACCGACAAATGGAACACTTGCTGTTGACTCACTGCAGCTAAACAAGTCCATGCATTTGCAGTGCCCGACAGCCACGATTGCAGCCCTCTACGATCTGTCTTCCAGCAGTAATGCCCCTCACTTCGTGATATACGCTCCAACACGCCGGTCAGAGTGGCTGATGCTTTGTGTATGATAAAGGTCAGACTGTCTGGTAATTGACGCTCTCTCGCGACTAAAGCTTCAAACACACCTAATATCAATTTCATTGACAGGCGCTGCACTGCAACTCTTTAGCCATCGGACGTTTTGACTCATATGGTTGCCCAAAGCATCAAGCACGAGGTCATCGGTAGCGCAAGAGTTCGATCGTCGTCGGATAAAAGCCATGCGTCGGTCCACTTCTCGTCAATGAAACGACGGGTGGCTGGAATGGGTCTTCGCCAGCAGCACACACAAGTGACCCTGACATGAAACAAAAGTCGGACGTTGATTTGGTTGGTACAGCAGCGTTCTCGTCAGTCAGTTCGCCAGCAAACCTTGTCGTCAGCTGGTACGCAGCTAGCTCATGTCTCGTCCGATATGGCCAACCATTGAGAACTGATTACATTGTTAAGTCTAAAGTGCAAAATCTCTGTCCAAGTACTTGATATTTCAAGGGACAAACTGTGGTGTCACTCTGACTCATTTGGCCGAAGCGCAACTACAACACATAGTTTCATTCCAATAAATCTCTTGAATGGAATAGGTGCGCTTTGGGTCAACAAGGTCGTCATTGGTATAGCAATGACAGGAGTCACTTCACCTCTGATGTCGATCATATGGTCATTCCTTCGCCTCTCGACACGACGTGCGCGAAGAGAATGTTGTCTTCTCCCCATGGCCTGGTATGCGTCCATTGTAGTGGTAAACGATCAGATGAGTCCCGTTCGTTTGCACATGCAAATTTTTTCATACTCATTCTAGATGGCACGGCGATGAAGCTCATGAAAGGTCCGTGCATCTTTGTATGTACCTACTTTGAACGCTCGCGCATCATCTTACCTGTACGGTTAGAGCTCGGCTTGGCTTTCACGACTTGACGCTCTACGACAAATACAAGCATAAGCATCAATAACAGAATCCAAAAAGTACTCAAGTCATGAAGTCGTTACAGAATCCAGCAAAGATCCAGCAATAAACCAGTAGGCTAAGAATAGCATAGAGTGTGAGCTAAGGTAAGGGTTCATTTTTTATTATTATCAAGGACCTCAATTTTGACAAAAAATGAACTCACTTTAGCATTTCTTGTCATAACACCACAGCATATGCCTGCTTGGCAATGGTCTACGATCCTGAACATGTAATCAAACACAATAATAATTCAGCCTCTAGCCTATTCTCAGTAACATGTGTTGCACAATACTGCCACTATATTCCAGCACGTCGTGCTCTTGTCTGTTGTCGACACATCGTTCGATAGGGATCCATAGTTCGCTTTGTACACGTTTGACGAGATAGAGATAATAATATCGTGCAAGTTCACAAAGCAAATCTGTAGTGGCCCACAGTCGAATACCCAGTTCGGCGAGGCGTGAGTCACGTTTTTGACCCATACAAAGACTTTTCGGCCTCTAACAAAAGCGGCATTGTACAAACGCTGCCGAGAACGTACAAACAGATCCTGACTGGATCACCGATCGGAATTTAAGCCGTATAATACCTTATATAAACTCACGAGCCTTCCACATGCGAGACACATATACATAACTCACGCACGACAAAGTATCTAAGTACCTTTCATTAGAAATTTGCGTAGGCGTATCGTTCAATAGCCCAATTTACTCCTCTATGTACTTGCGGTTATATTCTTAAGACTAGAGGGTTACACGCAATAGCGTGACCTCATTCCGCTTACAGCAGCGCTAAAAATCACTCATCGCAATATACTTCGAGCGTGCCTAAATTTACTCAAACGTTCAGAGCTCTTATGTGACTTTTTAAACTGCTGCATCATGAAGATAATTGCTCTAGATTGAGTGGTATCTTCCGACATCGTATGATTGTTAGTTCGGTTTGCATTGCTTCAGTTCCGATGCTTCCATCTTGAATAACCCAAGGCAGCAATTGATAATAAGACGTCAGCTTTGCTACGATCAACACGGAAGTGGTAGTTGATCCGTTGATAAGTAAAGAAGGAAAGAAGGAGTAAACGGAAGGGGTTGTACACATGTTCTGCGCGAAATGCCTTATCGACAGTTGTTAGGTTATAGATGCTATAGTCATAGAAGCTACTCACAGAAAGCTTCCAAGCCAGTCGACGATGCATCGCTGTAACATTTCGATGAATAATGTCGTTAGGTTTCTTGCTGCACGGGTGTTATTGATTGACAATCTGCATTAGAAAGATAGTTTTAGAAGTTCTAAAAGCTCAAAACGTAAAACTGTGTTGTCCTTCAGGAGAGTGTGGGGATCAAAGAACAGGCTTTCACCAGTAAAAATCTAAATTTTCATATCACTGGATAGGTTGTAGCAATTACAACATATCTGATGCGACACATACCTGCAACACAATGACAAAAGGCTATGGTGCATCGCATTGGAAACAAGGACATTTGTGATTAATATACGCTTCGTTGATTGACGATGTTGTGATGTTGTATCACAGAAGAGCGCAAATAGCATTGATAAGCGTTCCGATCCATCGGCATGACGGCTTGATATATTTGGACACTTTGTGCAATAATTTGTGAGCAAGATAGTTTATACAAGTGCACTATCTCGCTCCACTACTATTTGTCCGGCATACATGGTGCGTCTGCTCACAAATATTGCTTTATCGCTGTTCAATTTAACTTGCGTACTTTGGTGCAACATACAATCACTTTTATTAATGGCTAATTATACAATGCCTTCTATGATTCTAGTGGTAAGCATGCTTACGCTGCTTCTTTGTCGATGCAGTAGCAACGTGTAATAGACTCTTTCTCTTCCAGACATTCGACGCATTGGATGACAGACGCGAGTACTGCTATCTTGCCTTCGACACAAATTTGATTGGTAAAATGCTAGTACATTCTTGTCAAGCAGTGACGCGAACAGCGATTGTCGTTATTACGCTCTGTAGGCGACCCATTTTCTTGCCTGGACATTTGTATTTCATTGCCAAACGTTTTTCTGTTTTTGACAGGCTGCAGTATTGGTATATACGACAAGATCACAACTTAAAATGCAAAACTATGAAATGTAATGTGCGGCTGCGCTGGCTAGCTTTAGTTATTAGAAGATAGTATTTGATGTAAACGAAAGGTTTTCAAGATCTGTGAAATAAGCGACTATTTGATTTAGCCATTACTTACAGATTATGCAAAGCTTTTGTAGGCGTAAAATAACATCTGTGTATATACCTTTAATTGACGTGATTTGACATCAACGTCAGCGTATGCCAACGTGCATTTGCCCCAGTCAATGGGTGATTGGACGATATTTATTCTAGTGGGACAGTCAAGATTGCATTATCCAATAGGGCGGTAACCGGTTGCGATAAATGCAACAAAAGAAGTTAAACAGACGAAGTTGTATCGTCCAACACTGATCTGAGGTACACGATATGCTCGGATACTTGTCTTAAGAACTAGAAGGTTAAATCCCTTTCAGTATCGATGATTAGGAATACATCCAAACTTCTTCAAATCATGCGTTTGATCTTGAGCCCGTTTAGTGGTTGGAACATGCGTAGTGATTTGTGCACCTTGCATGACATTAATGACAATATCGATGCCAAGGCGAAAAATGATGCATTTGAATGACAATCAGTTTTCGTGATATAAGTTTCGATGGCTGTTTATAATAGCATCGTGTGACAAATTGGATATGCAATGAATGATACACGGATTTGGCCACACAGTCGTCTCCGACAGATCGACAATACAGACGAAACGAGCTATGCAATGACGTGCAAGTTGGGTCATGACTGTCTATAAATATATAATAAACCCTCCTATGAATGCATAATAAAATTTTCTATTTCTAAAAAGCCTGTACTATAAACCTGCTTCACAATTTAGCACAGGGTGCGTACTTTGAAAACACACAATGTATCGTTTTATTCAATTGTCGTTCTTCTTTGCTGTATACAACTTACTTCTTTACCTACAATCACCATTAACTCGCATTCGACGCGCATTGGTGGATATCCTTCTCATAGCCAAACCTCTTCGACGAACTGTTCTTAGTTTAAATTAAAACCCATTTGTCGGCTTGTCGTTTTTTAAAATGTACTGACATAAGTATAGACTCTGATGTCACCCGGTCTTCGACTTATTTAACCAGGTCATACATTTCGCAGATATATTAAGATATACTAAGTGTAGGTTTACGATGTTATATTATACTTTGTATACGGTTTGAAGCATTAAAGACAATCAAGACATTTTCGAATGGGTAAATAGGACTTTCGATTAATGCAAAATTAAAATGTGCTCTACAATTAATTAGTCGTTTGGGACAATACATAATCGTCTTATCAAATTATGTGTACATCGTATTTGAAACGCAGAGACCTATGTATATCCTGATGACAGTGTAAGCTAAATGCACATATAATGGTAGAGGAGTGCACAAAATCGTCACATACCATTTACAATGTAGAG